AGAAATCTTTGAGAGGGGAGAAAGAAAGTTTAAACAGAGGTTCAATCCTACGACAGTAACTTGATAAGTTAAAGATTAAGATTGTCAGAAGCAAAAGGAAGGAATATGTTGACTTGTTTGATCAGGGTTAAAATAAGAAATATTTCTATAAAAATCTGGAAACCCTTTATGGACTTTTTGCTGACATTTGGACAGAAATTACAACATTTTTTGGATTAGTGAATGGATAAGGGGAGATTATGGGAGGAGTAAACTATGTATGTAATTTCATAGAGGGTAGTAGAATATTAATTTGCTTGTACTTGTTGCAAGGAAGATCAGGAGTGGCTTCTTTAAATATTCTTTTTTTCCTATTTCTTTTCTTTTTCTTTTTCTTTTGTACTTGGTATTTTTTTCTCCATTCCTTTCTTTTTTTTTATGATTTCAGTTTGTATTATCTTTTAGTATTGTAAATTTTCTTAATAAAAAGTATTTTTAAAAAAGTAGAGTTGACAGTGGTTTGTTATGGCAGCCACCATTACCTAGCTTTCTAAAAACTGAAATGTTGGATCTCAAAGTCATTCTCAGTGCTGCATACCAGCCTGGAAGAACTACTTCCTAATTTTATAATTTCTGTAGGGAAAGGAATTCTTTCTGCATAGCTATGTCTCTCCATACCTAGAGTATTAATGTATGTGCACAATGAACAATGGTAGCTTGTGTTCCTTGCCTTAGTATTCCATTTTAAAGTCTTTTGCATTCCATCTAGCCTTTCCCTTAATTGCTGCAGGATGGATCACCATTTACCCAACATATCTTTGCTTGTAGTGCTTAACACAGAAAAATATAAGTCAATGACCAAAGAGCTTGTCAACTAAGTTTTTAAGAGGGTAAAAAGACAAAAATAATTAAAAACAAGGCACAGGTATCAACCAGCCTTCTTACTGTGCCTTTCCACGGCTGGATTTGTTGCCACCTGATTGCATTTTTTGGCACCTTCAAGTCAGTGTTGTTATTCCTTGCTAATATTTCCCTTGTCTCAAACCCTGGAAACTTTTAAAGACCCAAAACACTGATCACTGGCTAAATGTAGTGGAAGATGAGCAGCAAGTCAGGAATTGGGAACAGTGATGCCAATTCTAAAGGCATTGCATGAATGGGCTATGGGAGTTTCATTGTGGCATTACATGTAGTGGGGTCCTATGCCTATAACAGGCAGGAATTCAATTTAGCTGGGAAAATTCAGAAATTCTGCCTGCTGGGCATCTCTTAAAGGTTTGCATTTCCTTTCCGTGTGGACTAACATAGTGCTTGGCTGTCCTTTCTGAGAAAAGTAAGTTCTACTCTAGCTGTAGTTCGCGTTATAGCCTTGGGATGAGACCATTATCTTCATCACCTCCTTTTCTGGGGAGACAGACACTGTTGGTGTTTTTTCCACCTTTCTCATCTCTGTGTTTCCATAGGGAGGCCCAGGAGCTTCAAGTTGCGGATATGGAAATTTTGAAGAGATTGGCCCTTTAGATGCTGATCTGAAACCAAGAAGGACAACTTGGGTATTTATCTTAACTTATGACTGGGCATTTTCTGGCAGGCTATGTAAAATTACTAATTTGCAATATGTTGATTTTGTTTAAAATGTAGTCTTTGGGATTTTTCTTGCTCATTTTCCTCTAGCAGCCCATATACTGTATGCTTCTGAAGCTGTTAATTTTTTTAAGTGATCTTATTCCTACGTCTCTTCCAGGAGCCTAATAGATTATTTGCCTTCATGCCAGGAAATCTTTGTTTGCTACGTTTTCCTGTATTATCCTTGTATTAAACAAAGCAAGTAAGATTTTAGGTATTTAGATTCATTTTCAAAGATTACCAACTCCCATAGGATTGCTCTTAACTATCCTGAAAGTCAAACAAAAACAAGTGTACATTAAAAAGATTGATTACAAACATATATATATACACACACACACACGCACACGTACACACCAACATATATCCACACACACATGTATGTACAATATGTACAATTTATAAAACCTTAAAACAGTTGCTTGGAAGAATGAACTTAAAATCAGGAAAAAATATTGTTTTGTGTCACAAACTGTGGAAGGTTTGACTCTGTTGCAAGTATCAGAAACTGAAACAAAGAGACATCTGTGGCTGAGATTGCCTATGAACCACAACAGCTAATGCCAAAAAAAAAATAAAAAATCTAATAAACGCCTTCAGGCCTACAATATAGCGATGATAATAATTAATGTGCTATCCTTTCAATGCAAAATAAGCTCTCTCCTCTGTATGTGTTGCTGATGTCAGTGTTTTCTTTGGTATAGCTGCAGGCAGCAAGTCTACTCTTTGTTGACAATCCCGTTGGCACCGGATACAGTTATGTTAATGACTCCCTTGCCTACGCTACTGATCTCCACATGGTCACTTCAGATATGATGGTGGTTCTCCGAGAGTTCTTTAAATCAAGGGTGGAATTCCAGGCAAGTATAGCTGGAACAGCCCATGCAATGCTGTGTTGTCCGCTATCACTGAATGAAGTCCCTGAACCTGTCAACAGAAGCTAAACTACACATTAGCCTTATTCAGGCATTGTAAAACTGAAGTACTCATCACATAAGCCTTTTTATTAAGCTCTGCTGACATTTATCAAATGGCATTGGGCGTGGATGTCTGCAGAAGGAAACCCTTCTTACTTAAACTTGCACGTGTACTAGCTTCCTTGCAAATCAGCACCTTGAATGATTAGGATCCTTGCTCGTGTCAAAGCCAGTTCACTAATAGTTATGCATGCAAAGGCTCCTGCAGTCCACTATCCTGAGCAGTACCTGCTAAAGGGCAAGGTTTGTTGGGAGTGCTCACATAGCAGGAATTCACAATTTGAGTGTGTCTGAAGGGGGCTATTCTGGCTAGATTTAAGTCCCTTTTTTGCCCCCTTCAAAGTCCCTCAGGGGCAAATGATGGTGTGTTAAGAGGTTCCTCATTCCTGCCAGTGTAGAGATTGCTCCCTCCTGAGAATGATGTGTTTTACGATCCTAGGCCTAATTGCTGGCCAGAAAGACTTAGGGTGTATGATCAGTCCCTGGGGAAGTAGGTTTTTAGTATGATCAGAGGGAGATATGAAGGGTCCTTGCTAAATTCATTGGGTTGCTCTATTGATAAAATGGGGTGAAAAGATTCTCTGGCTTCAGGGGGGGAATAAAATTAAGTGTTAGTCTTTTATTTTTGGAATGAAATCCCAAATGTCCCAGTTGATGTGTAAATGACTTCATTTGGTGTAATCTGTTTTGTACTGTAATAGACCCCGTGTCTGTGGAACAGGGCAGGACAGAAATGCAAGGGTTGTGTCTCTTACCTGGCCTTAGAGCTGCAAAAGGAGGCCATTTTGTCTTGCTCCTCTGAAGAATTGAAAGATTTAACTAGTGTTTTTGGGCATCAAGTAAGAGGAAGAAAAGGGTGAAGGTATATTTATGTATTGAGTAATTATTTTATTTTTGTGGAAGGTATGTAAAAGGTTCAGTTGTTCAAACTCTTAATTTTTTTTTCTTTAATGTGTTTTCCCTTTCAGAAAATCCCTTTCTACATCTTTTCAGAATCTTACGGAGGAAAAATGGCAGCTGCCATTGCTCTGGAACTTCATAAGGTAAAGCTGATCTTTCCCTGTCGGAGAGAATGGATTCTCACATGGTGGCTTAGATTTCTTCTGCAAGATGCTGAGGGGAGAGCCTCTTCTAATGAATGAGGCATATAAAATCTTCCTCAAATCAAGGTTGATTCCTGATCATTATATGGACACATCCATGTTGCTTCTTTGGTAACAAGTTGGATGCATTTCTGACCTCCCAGTCTAGTCTATGGCCCGGGGATTCCTGGTGGTCTCCCTTCCCAGCACTAACTAGATTTGACCTCCTTTGCTTTTTTCAAATCAGTCAAACTGGCTAGGTGCTGTCACCTGTGATGTGAAATATATACATGTTCCCAATATGTTTTTTATCCGGTCATCTGAACTTGAAATTCCCACTCTCCCACTCAGAATAAGACCCCAGGGCCACAGGCACCCCTAGAAAGCCTTGGTTGTGGCCCCCCGGGACCTCTCCAAAACTTTCAACTGAATTTTATTGTTGTATGTGACATCTGGAGAGTAACCATAGTTATTAAGCAGTTTGCTTTAATGTTAATGGTTCCCTTTAAAGTCAATAAAATCTTACTTTTCGACTTGATACTGCCCAGTTCTTTGCCCACTCCTCCCCCTCATGTGGATATGTGGACCTTGCACATGATTCAGGCACCAGATGTGGTCTTCAGACCAAAAGACCTTGTGCATCCCTGCTGCAACCATTGTGTAAGTGCACATCAGCAGCATGAGCATTGGATCAGCAAGTGATTGAGCAGCTACTCCTACTTTTCCCTAACTATTTTCAGATAATGTGGAAGAAAGCTGGTGTGTGAGGGAGGGGGGAGGGGGGGGGAAGGAAGGAGAGAGAAAGAGAGAAAGAGAGAAAGAGAGAAAGAGAAAGAAAAGAAAGAAAGAAAGAAAGAAAGAAAGAAAGAGAAAGAAAGAAAGAAAGAAAGAAAGAAAGAAAGAAAGAAAGAAAGAAAGA